ACATTAAAGTCGTATAAAAATAAAGTCATAATATTACGAGATTAAAGTCATAACAATACAAGTTTAAAGTCATTACGAGTTAAAGTCGCAATATTATGAGTTTAAAGTCATAATATTGTAACCTTTACATGAAAAAGCATGCTTATCACTGCATTCAAATAAGGAATGTTGAGCAACTTGTCAAGTTGTTCTTTAGTATTGCTATAAATAGTTAATCTTTTAGCACATTAGCATCAAATTATCAGTAGCAGGACTTGGAAATCGTGCAAACGACTATATGGTAAACTGAAGCTCTGTTGTAATTAATGGATGCACTGATGGATTTAGTCGTCATGTAGCTAATTTGGATGAAAGCGTATTAATCTAACAGTGACCCGAGACATCATGGACTACTTTATAAACACAGAGACATGGCTGTACAGCAGGTGTGGGGAACATAAGTCATAAAATTATGACTTTAACATTGAAATAATAATAAAAAAAAATCTTGTGTGGCCCTAATATTCCGTCGTATTCACAGACTGAGCAGAAAACAAGATAAAATAAAATACATGTAAGGCTGAAAAACTGTAGTCATCCTGATTTAACATAGAGAAAGCAGATAGGCAAGCTTAGCARTGTTACAGATGTATTGCTACAGGTTGATGTGGTTAAACCTGGGAGTTATCTTTGAGTGCTAATAGTGGAACTGAGTGCTGGTCTTATTTTAGCTAAAATAAAATGTTCTTTCSATTGGTGATGAACCACACATGAAGTTGTTGGCCCATTTGATGAGTCCAACAAGAACTTTACCTGAGTATTTAGTTTTGAAATTAAGACAAAACGAAAAAAGTCAATTAAACCTGTTATTTCAGTGTTCTACAGYTGAGTCACTGCAGAGCATTTATTTCATTTATTTATTTTAAAACATGACACACACAACTACGGTCAGTTCAGCATCACTAAATACATTTGGAAACTGGGACACTTCAAGAAAATTCACCCAAGCAAGAACAGAACCAACACATTTTCCTGAAAAAGAGCCCAACTACTTTTGATCCACAAGCCAGTCTTAAACACTGCCCCACTGTGACTTCTGCTGTGCATTTTAATCTCAGAAAAAAATACAAAATGCATAAAATAATGATAATAATACCAGAACGATAAAACAAATACCAGAAAGAAAACATTGGATCAGCTCTGCTTGTTTTCTTTGATGATTGCGTTCCATTTTCAAGCTTAAATAGCTGATCACACATAAAGTGCTTTATGGTTCTCCTTCAAGTTTTATTACTGAATTGCTGCTCCCCCATGAGCCAGGATGTAGCCTGAGATCATTACTCAGACATCTGCTAGCTGTTCCTAAGACCCAGCTTAAGAAAAAAGCTGGCCAGGCTTTTTCACTCAAAGCCCTTTTGAAACTCTGCACCAATGGATCCACGCCTGGATTTGAGGCCTGCTGAATCCCATCTGTTCTTCTATTGGTCCTTTTTCCATCCTTGATGGGTTAAATATTGACTGTCTTCATCCAATCAATTTTTCTTGTATGAGTTCTATTTTTTTCAAACGTAGCCAAAGATAAACCCACAGGTTTGTCTTTACTGTGGTGATTGTTTGTCACTATCAGAAATGAATGTCATTGTCTAATTGGATGATTTATCAGAGAACAGTGTGGTCTCTGAGGATGGAAGTCCTGCACTGGAGGCTCTTCCATCTTATTTTGGCCTTTTCAAATACTCATGTACTTGAGAGCCTTTCACCTATATCAGATCTTTTTTT